CAGCATTTTGATTGAATTCACGCATGACACAGATTTCAAATGTAGGAAGCCACGTATTTCTAACATATCATAATCATCATTGCACATATATTATTGATTGTGCATTGTTATTGTATCATTTAGAGTCACAAATTTACGAAAAGTATATAGAACCGTAATGGTCGATGGGATAGCACGACATACCGACGAGCAATGGGTAATATCGGTGCCGGCAATGGAATCGTCTTCCTCCAATTGGCGTTGTCAATTGCCGATCTCCAATTTCAATATTCGATAATTGAATTAATTTGATCTGTGACCGATATCTCATTTAATCTGCCGTCAATTTTGGTCCTAAATTGGTATCAGTCTGGGGATGAAGCAGAATCTGCAATTAGGGAGGTGGTTTGTTATATTATGAAATCTTAACTGTAAGCTTAAATTACGTCAATTTTGGTCTTGAATCGGTATCAGTCTGGGGATGAAGCAGAATCTATAATTAGGGAGGTGGTTTGTTATATTAGGAAATCTTAACTGTACGCTTAAATTAAGGATAGAATATTATTAGATTAGTTGTTAAATATTATTAATTAAATCGGGGAAAAACATGATTTTTTAAAATCTAAACATTCTGGCCTGATTTGTGATTTCGTAAAAGATAATGTCTGACCCATGAATTTTTCCCTTTAGCTTACCCACAATTTTTAGGCCCGGACTGGTATTTTATTTCCATGATTTTATTTTTCAATCCTTTATCCAATGAACGCTACATAAAACACTGATCCCAATCTTGTTAAAAAAAATTACAATTAATTTTCAAACATATATCAATCTTCCATTTATGACCTGCTTATCCAGCAAATACACGATATTTTGTTATTATTTACCACACAAATGCAGAGAATTCTCTTTCATCCCGATGTATAATTCTTAAGGAATGTGACCAAAATGGAGATAGATAGCCATTACTATAGAGAATATAGAGAATACAACGTATCAAACACCAAAAAGCTAGATGTTAAGTTTCTTAAATATAATATTGACATTGATATTTTCAATGTTTTTGTGCTATTTGATCCATCCAATGCCTTGCAAACTTAACCATATATATATATATATATATATATTTGCCAACTCTAATGCATTTCGTTTGTTAAAATTGTTGTGAAACAGAAGAATCAACTTTGAATATCCGACAAGTGTAAGGTCATCACCAAGCTGTCTTGCATTAACCTATAAAAAATGTTTGACATTAACAATAGATAATCGTACTTGAATTTTGTTCAATCAAGGGACTAGAGTTTAATATAATTTCAATCAGGTAATCACACTTTCATTTTATTTCAACTAAGGTTACTTTGTCTAATTCTACTAACGATTATTGATGATGTAATAGTCTACAAATGAAGATTATTACACTTACTCGATAGTTTTTAACGTGAAATAAGTATAACTTCATTGAATAGACTTAGTTACCCAATTGATTTTAATAAATATGTAGTTATCTGTTTGAACAATCTTTTTTACCATATGATAAGCTTTCAATTCTATGCAAAGAGTACTCAATAGGGATGTCAAGTGCGTGAGCCGCTTGCGGACTCAACTAGCCCAGAGGTAATTAAGGGAGAGTCGAGCTGGGTTTTATCGCGAGTCATAGTAGGCTCTCATCGGCTTGCCAGGGAGCCAAGAAGCAAAAACAATAAAAAAATGTGTGAGAAGTATAGTCGAGCTGTATTTTCTTCAAGCAAGCCAACGTGTGCTTGACTTGCCTCAAAGCAAGCGAGCATATGCATCGGCTCATCTGTGAACCTAACAACTCGGTTCACTTAATATTCCTAACACTCAACAACATAAATGCAATTGTTTGATGCATAATGAAACAATAACAACTTAAATTTTTAAACGACTCGAAACACGTTGTACTATAGTATAACAAAGAAAAAAAGAATGTGCATTAAAGTGCAACAAACAATAAAGATTGGGGACTTCCGTTCAAACCAAGTTCACCACATCAATTCTCTTCTTAGTCACTTTGTACTGTTATAAGAGCCATGAAATTTGCCTAAACTCTCATCCAAATTCTCTCCATGTTCTATGCTCTCTCTGTCTCTCTCTAAGCATCATCCTTTTAGACATCCTTCTAAGGTATTTTAAGGTTACTATATATTGTTATTTACATTTCGCAAACTCGTTTTAATCAACGAAAAAGAAAAAGAAATTAAAATCTTGTCCTCGTTGTGTTTGGTCATGTCATTTGTCTACTAAACATGCATTATATATAAAAGTTACAACCCACATTCTTCAGCAAACTCGTGGTTGATGTTGAGCTTATGTTACTCATCACATATTTTTACATGAACACTTAAATCGATTTAATAATATCACAAATATGGATCGTGTGGCTATCAATAAGGTTACTATATATAGTTATTTACACACTTTCTTTAAGAAGTAAGCTTTGTTTTGCATTATAGTGGTTATCATACCTAGATTGTCTTTTTACCAGATATCATGCAGGTTGAATTCATCCTTTTAACTTGTCTGTCTTTCTAGCAATTCTTTTCTGCAAATATACCATGACTTTTCTAATGAATGAAATAATTCTGAAGATCAATAATTGCCAAAAGTATTTTCATTTTTGCTTCACTGGTGTTGATAATTTCGAGATTTAACAACTGTTTATACATTTCTATCAGCCATGTCTTCCTCGCTCGACTCGGACGAAGTAAGATCTGTAGGTGAGTTTCAAAAAGTTGCTAAACATTACTGACATATTTGATAAGGTGAATGAGACAGTACGATTAAAAAGAAAAAAGTGTTCGGTCCAGTCTTATCTATTGTTCAGTCTAGTCGATTATCGCATAGCAAAGCCTCACGATTGGTATTTTTCATTTTGCAGCTATTGTTTTGAGCTTAGTTATATTTTTAGTGATTGGGGCAATCTCTTGCTACTGCGGTAAGAAAATGAGGAAGGCAATAATATCAGAACTAAGAGCTGCAGTTGCTCCCCCAACACAGCCACCATTAAATGTAATCCAAGTTTGGGAGGTTGATGCCCCAACAATGGAGAGATTTCTTCGAGACCTAGCACAGGAGAAACCGGTGAGGTTCACTGCACAACAGCTCTGTTCTTTTACAAGTAATTATACTACGATGTTGGGTTGTGGAGGTTTTGGGAAAGTCTACAAGGGACAGTTCCCGAATGGAGATAAGATTGCTGTAAAAGTTCTCAACCGGACTGCAGATAGGAGTGCGGAGGAGCAGTTTATGGCCGAGGTTGGGACGATAGGGAAAACTCATCACATAAATCTAGTAAGATTATACGGCTTTTGTTACGATCCGTATATGAGTGCTCTTGTGTACGAATACATGGAAAATGGATCTTTAGACAGGTACTTGTTTAGTAAAGACAAAGAAATTGAATGGGAAAGGCTACATGAAATTGCAGTTGGAACAGCTAAGGGTCTTGCATACTTACACGAGGAATGTCAGCAGAGGATAATTCATTATGATATAAAGCCAGGAAATGTGCTTCTCGACTCAAACTTTTCTCCCAAGGTTGCGGATTTTGGGTTAGCGAAGCTTAGCAACAGAGATGCTACACACATTACAGTCACAGGATACAGGGGCACTCCGGGATATGTAGCCCCAGAATTCTTGCTGAAGAATTTCCCTATAACGTATAAGTGCGATGTTTATAGCTTTGGAATTTTGCTATTCGAAATAGTTGGTAGAAGGAAAAATACGATAGTTGGAAGTACAGATAGTCTCGATTGGTTTCCCAAAAAGGTTTGGGAGGAATACGAGAAAGGGGAGCTCACAGCACTAACAGAAGCATATGGAATCAAGGAGAAAGATCAAGCCATGGCCGAGAAAATGTTTATGGTAGCCCTGTGGTGTGTTCAAGATTCACCAGAGGCTAGGCCACCTATGAGTGCTGTAGTGAAAATGCTGGAGGGAGGGGTCGAAATTATGCCACCGCCTAAACCATTCCATTATTTGTTTTCAGTCGGGGTGCATGTGCTACCAAACAATAGCGGGAGTGATTCAACATATTCAACAAGTGAAACGAATTCTAATTGGTACAAGGAAACGACTCCAATAATTAAAAAGTATGAGATACAAATGGCGAGTGCGTGAAGAGGAAACTGACGTAGAGTATTTTTATGTTGGTTGCAAAGAAAATTTGGTCGGTTCATGTACCAAAACAAGAAAACAAATAAAAGGATTCAAGATGTCCTATCATGGTAAATCTATTGTACTGTAAGTATTTGGAAGATTAGCTTGAAAATTGTAAGATTGATGTAAGATTAATGCAATATATCACTCAACGCCACCACCTTTACACATTTAAGTGGAATTTACCATCATTTAAGTTGAAATAGAATTTGAATTAAATTTTTATTCATCATTTTAAGTTGAACAAAACAGTCTGCAAAATAGTTTGTAGTTTCCTATTTTTTTTATCTCGAAGGCAAGATTTCAAATCCTCTTATCACAATCTTAATTTTTTTTTCCTTTGTTTGTACAGTAAATCTCCGAAATCAAGCTTTTCAACCTCATCTTTAAGTTTCGTTTACATATTTCATTAGTTTTACACAATTTCGTTAACAATAGTGTTACATTGTCCTCGTGCTAGATCTACGAGCTGATTTTCGGGCGGATAAAATTGACAAAATAATATACTTAACACATAACCTACCGTTGACCATTTTAATTTTTGAAGAATAGAAAAAAGATATTTTAAAAGGTGAAAATATTTTTTTTAATTAAATTGAATGGAGAGAAATAATTTTGAAAAACCCACTTCCATACCAGCCCACTTG